CCACCCCCCCAAAAAAAACACGACCGATCCCGGAACACCTGAAAAGGTGGCTAAGACTAGACAATGTGAAGGTAAACATGCATTTGTTTTGAAAAAGTTGCCTTTCTAGCCTTCTTTGCGGTTTTGATGATATTTCTCACCTTGGTTTGGGACGATGACGTTGTTGAAGAGCCAGCTTGTGGCGGGAACCTCCCCGCCCTCTGACGTCACCACACAGTAGATGAGGAAAGGGTTGTTCGCCAGGCCGGTCTGAGGGGAGGGGCAGTCAAACGTGATCTGTCCTGTCACATTATCTGCAATATAAAAATGATAAACATTGTTATAATTAATTTTCTATTTATTTATGTTTATCGAAGGAAAACATATTGTTTTTGCTCTGTTTCCTCTTCCTCTTCTTCTCCAAACACTGACCTCTGACCTGGTTATTGACCTGAACCAGACCGTCTCTCACCATAGTAACTGGTGTTGGGTTACATAAATGTTGCAATTTTATAGTAGGAGGGATTTAGACTCTTGTCACCATATATGTGAATGTGTTTCTGATTCAGTAAGAGGGAGGACCATATGCGGAGGTTAACATGTGTTTGAGTAACAGAGAAGACCATATGCGAAGGTAAACATTATACAGTTGATTTGCAAATGTATACCTTTCTATTATGTAAGATTTTTCAATATCTTAAACAGCGTTGTTATACACATTTTCTTGCGCTATATTACGAGCCCAAATATGCAGAAACACACACACACAAACGCATACACAGATCAAAAACAATACGTCCATTTTTCATCAAGGTAATGATTTAATGATTTAAACATGGTTTACATTATTTCTATCGCCACACGTATAGCGAGAGATCGTGTGGGCCAGACGGCACTTATAGCAGACGACCTTATCTATGCAAATTATTGGCCAGAAACTTCCGTGGTCATTAGCTTAGGTCAATACTGTTCCACATCGCTAGGACGTGAAGTGTACAACTCACTGTGACTAACAGTGCGAAACCTTCTAACAACAGGTTAGGCCATGTTGATTTAATTATATGGATGACATCCACGCGCGCATTAATTTTTCGGCCGTTT